GAACTGGGGAATTTCCACCCTGAAGCCCTGCTCCCAACGGTGGTTGGGGCGCTTAGGGGACTGATTCCGTAGCCTAGCGAAGGGGTTTTCGTCGACGATGGTAACGTCAACATATTGGCGTTGCACCTGTACGACTTCGTCCAGCCGCTGTGTCAAAATCTCCACCTGGCGCCGCAGCTCGTCGTTGTCACGGCGAACGTCGGCGTTCTCACGTCGCAAATCAGCAAAATCGCCATCCTCCGCGGTCGCAGGTCGCGCCGTCCTGCGGGGCGGCATCCCTCCAGATCAACCTGGCTCTGGATACCAATCTGATGCAGCGTGCATGGGTAAGGGTAGAGCTTATCGCAACTCATTGATTCCACGAATGCCCGAGGGACGATATTTGCGAGGAAAAAGCTCCTCTTTTCTTCTTTTATTCCAATTCCGAAAAAACTAACTCCAAACGCAAAGACAGACAACCTTTATAGAGAAGGCTAACAAGAATCCAAGTCCAACTTAAACAAAGAAAAAGGTAACAACGTAACAAAAGGCCAACAATTACGTAATGGTCCATAATGATAAAAAAAACAAAACAAGCTTGGTACGTTGCATGGATGCAGTGTCAATTATGGACGTCCTCGACGTCCCCATCAGTATTGATACTCATTTATTCGAGGGTGTTTTAATTACACATAGAAAAATTAGACCTATTTGTAGAACTGAAAAAGTTAAGGTACCAAAATGTAATACACAAAAATTTTAGGTACTAAATGTAATGTTCCATCAATATTTTGAGGACTTATATGCTAAAAAAATTCATTTAAGTTATAAATCTAAAGATCTATCAAGTTTAGGTACCAAACTGTATTTACATAGTTGAGGCTTAATTCCTTTTATGGTGATGTATTTAAGATGATAATTATTTACTTTTTTATAGAAAAATGGGAACTATTGATTTGATATGTGTATATACCTAGCCAAACATTCCATGTATAATTGTTGAAAATTCTATCCTTAGTGAAAAAGAAAAACTCTAGCGAGAAGTAAAAGGAATACAAACTGGAAATCGATTAAAATTTCACCCCTTCAAATCCTATTGTGGAAAATGACGACTTTCTAATAAGTAATAACCATATATATTTATTATTAATTGGACTCAATATTGAGCTAAAAAGGTTAGTGATTCAGGGTTCAATTATTAATTCTCTAGATTGTTGAAGAGTCGTGTATGGACCCGTTCATACGTGTGATTAGAATATATAAAAATAGTATACTAATGAGGGTTATACGAAGAAGGCAAAGAAAGAAATAAAGAAAGGGTTACGGAAGGCAATTGAAAAATGAAACGAAGAAGAAGAAGATAATGGAAAGATTTTGACCAATTCTTTTAGTTGGCCGTCACTAGAACAGTCAACCGTTCTCACTGTACCAATTTATTGACACTTGCTTATGTAGATCTGACATATTTTGTTACCTGTAGTTAGTATATGTTTGTTTAGTACCTCGTAAATGTATTAAATGAGTTTATTAATTCGATCTTGCAATATTTTACCGTCGTCTCTTTTTTATCATTATTTAATATTTCACATAATGAGCAAATATAAAATGGTCGAATCTTCTCCTACAGTTGAGTGATACAACATCTTGTATGGTACAAACTAAATTTATACTTTTATGTTATGGTGGATTGGATTTATGGATTGGTGCAAAAGGATTGGTGGATTGGATTCATGGATTCAAGTGCAATCTAAACATTGGACCAATATGTAAATTAAAAAAAATGTAGGTTTGAAAATCTCATAAAATTTAGATACCAAAACATAATTTTTCAATGATTTTACATTAAAATTTAATTTGGGGTATCATGGATTGGATTCGTGGATTAGTTAAAAAGATTAGTGGATTGGATTCATGAATTCAAGTGAAATATAAAAATTGGACCAATTTACATTAAAATTAAATTGAGGGTATCAAAATATAAAATATACATTATAGTAACTAATTTGTAAATTGTTAACAGTGACTATTTTGTAATTTGTTTGGCAACATTAACCAAACTTCACCTTTATATATTAATGTTTTCATGCAATTTTATCGGTTATTAACGTTAATTCACTTGTATTTAGTAATTACGCAAATGGACAAGTTTGACCTGTTGCTGAGCTACGAATCTACCAACCAACCCTTATAGGGTCTTGAATTTTACATTTCAACTCCAACTTTTTCTTGAGAAATCAATACATGTATCTTTTGTAGTTTGCTTAATTTCAAGTCTAAATTAAAGAAAACTTACCCTTCAATCTTCATAAAAGTTTGAAGGGTTAATGTCTTATTTTGGCTCGAACTATGATCATATAGTCAATTTTGGTTCGTGGTTTTAGAAATTAACATCCTGACCTCAACTATACCGTATATAGACTCAATTGACCCGACACATGGTTTGACCGTCAATTTGGAAAGTCAACACCATTGACCGTTAATCAACACGGCATGTCATTGTCTCGTCAGCCTAAAAATCATTAAAAAATACAAAGTTAAATTACTTTCCTAATTTCTATTAGTTATCATTTTCAAATTAACCAAAAAATAAAATTTAAAATAATTTGATAGTTTTTGGTTAATTTATAAAATTTATCATTTTCAATTTAACCAAAAATTAAAATATTAAATTTATTTTATATTTTTTATAATTTTATTTTTTGGTTAATTTGACAATAATAAATAATAAATTAGGAAAATAATTTGTATTTGAATTTTTTAATGATTTTAAGGTGACGAGGCAATGACATGACGTGTTGACCGTGTAAATTGACGGTCAAACCATGTGTCGGGCCAATTGTGTCTATATGTTGCATAGTTGAGGCCAAGATGTTAATTTCTGAAACCAGGAGTCAAAGTTGATTATATGATCATAGTTCAGGCAAAAATAAGGTATTAACCCAAATTTGAAAATTATTTTTGTTATGCTCTCACTAAAATCAACATAGAGAGCGTGCTTAATATCCTCAAGCGCGATGTCATTTAGGACAATTTTAACGATGAATAAGTCAATTTGAGTGTGCTTAATTGATTTAAAAGAGTACCATCCGTTGATCCTTTGAGTGAATTGTCACCTAAATAGAAAGAAAAGTCGACACTTTTATTCATAAAGGACTTACGTTTAGTATAAAAGGACTAACATATCCAATATATGAGATGAGGCTATAATATGTATTGACAGATTATATTTCAAAGTAATAACTTAGAAAAATTACATTTTAAAATGACAGACTACCTAGAACCTAAGTTACTCATAGTATATCACATTCATGTGATTATATTTCAAAGTGACAACTTAGAAAAATCATATGTATATTTTTTATGACTTCCTTGGTCTTTGATCAAAGTGCACGTAGTCTATTATTTTATCTTAAACGAGGAACATAGCTCATTTATATTAGTTAATTTCAAATTAATCAAAGCTGCATACTCTATCTAAGATTACTAAACATTCATTGTCTTTGTCAAGCTACTATCTGGCTAATTACGCTTCTAATTCCACGGCTAGATATTTTTTAGGCTAAAAAATTAATTTTTGGATGACTTTGAGAGCTGGATATAGTCTTTGAAGCTCTATATCATATCCAGATCATGGACAAGATCGATTGTTATTAGCCAACGATAAGTCTAAGGGAGTGGTGCCATAAGCTTTCCAAATTGATGAAGTTCAAGGGAGTTGTTGATTTGAATCAACGAGAAGAAGAAGTGCAGAAACCCAGAGGAAAGCAGCAGCTGATGGTTACAGAGTTTGGAGAAGAAGAACGTTGAAGTTGAAGATCTCTGAGAAGAAACGTTTCATGTTGGAAACGTATTAACTGAACGCAGCGTTTGGTTCCTTTTAGTAGATGTTAGTTATTTACAGAACAATAGAGTTTTGACACCTGGCTTTGTTACCGTTATGTCACAGTAAATTCGGAACACTATAAATGAAAGAATCCCAGCAACGAGACAAGCTGAGGAATTCCCCATTTTCTTCTTCCTCCTTACTTTCTGCTCAATCAAACCCTTCCTCAGAAAGTTTCATAGTATCAGAGCGGATCTAAGGGATCATGTCAGGCTCGGGCACAACGAGTGGAGGTGCTAATACTCCACCCAATACTCCTCCGATGAACTTTGGATCCTTCCAAAACCAGTCGGCAAACACTCAAGGCAACAACAACAACAATCGGGCTGCAGATCTGAATTTTGGTAACCCATTCTACATAAACCCCAACGAGAATTTGGCTCAATCTATCGTACCCATTGTTCTAGATGGTCCAAACTATCAGACCTGGTCTAAGGCAGTGAAAGTGGTTCTTAAGACTAAGAACAAACTAGGTTTTATAGATGGGTCGATTGTTGCTCCGAACAGAAATGACAATTTGTTTCAGATCTGGGATGCTTGTAATACGATTGTGCTGTGTTGGATTACTAATTCTCTAGAAAAGGATATAGCAAGAAGTGTCCTTAGTCATGATAATGCTCGTGCTTTGTGGAATGAACTTAAGGATCGTTATGGTCAAGCTGATGCACAGAAGCTTACTAATCTGGAAGATGAAATCCATGCTACTAAGCAAGGAACCCAGACCATTACCCAGTAGTATACACATATGAAGGTCTTTGGGAAGAGTATAGTCAGTTTAATCCTATTGTGCCTTGTGGTTGTTTACCTGGGAATCCTTTGCCTTGTGCTGCTGTTGAGGCATTCAAGTTGAAACATAATACAAATTATCTGATTCGATTCCTACGAGGGCTGAATCCTGAGTATGACTACATCAGGACACAGCAGTTGATGCAGAAGCCTCTGCCAACAGTGGTACAAGCTTTCCATGATCTGTTACAACATGAACAGAAGCTTAAGGCAGATGGAAAAGGATCTGGTAGCAAGGCAACAACGCAATCAGTTGCTCTAGCAACCAGTTCTTACAGTGGAACTGGATCTTCAAATTCCAACACAACATCTAAGAGTCCATACAAAGGAAGTGGAGGCTCATGGAGGAAAGATGAGTGAAGTTCCGGCATGCAGCATCCTGTACCCACACAGAGCCGGCAACGTGTATATGATTCAGTACTACGCTTACTGGGATGGGGATGAAGTTGAGAAGAAAGAGAGGCACTTGGATTGGATTCGGAGGCTTGAGGGTTACTTGGCGCCATTCGTGTCGCAGGGTCCATGTGGAGCTTATGTCAATGCGAGGGATCTTGATCTTGGGATGAATGGTGATGGTTCAAGAAGGGCGTCGAGCTATGAACAAGAATGTGGTTGGGGGAGGATGTTATTTTTAACATATGTAATCCCCAAAACTTCATCTTATCATATTATCAAAGATTAGTAGGAATATCTGGATTCGTCTCGGTTGATCATCTGAATTTTGATGTGGAACACATAAGACAATCTGCAACCGGACGATACTTCTGGGAGCACGATCCGGGAGTGGCACGCTAAAACACAACTCCTAACAATGGCCAAGTGTAACCAATGAAAGGGACTGCAGTATAGTGGCACAAGTAATAAATATCGAATCCACGGGTCTCTAGAGTTACTATTACTCAGCTTCAGTTCATTATCTAGCAAACTAGATTAAGGATTGATTTACTAAACTACTCTACTAACTACTCTACTAATTACAAGTTGGGAACTCACTTAGGTATGATTCTCCCTAGCTCCTCAATTAGGTCCAAGTTGCAATTACCTTTGGTTGATCTACTGTTGATTAAACTGCGGAAGATCCGAAATTAGCTTGGAATCTCTTAAGCTGACCAAGCCCTCTCAAACAGAATACCCGACAGACGACTAGCCTTCACCGGGATAGACTGCTAAGGCGATTCACACAGATCTCCACTACTGGAATGAATTCCAGTACAAAGCAGTAAATTGATTGACTCTCGCACAACCAATTCACCACTATCAATCAAGGAAGCTCTCTTAACCTAATCAGATTCTATCTATCATAGGTTAAAGCAGAAATCAAGAGAATTTGATCAAGATTCAATTGACTCAATAAATCATGCCTCAATCGATTATAATCAAACAATAAAGCATCCAAAACTTCATACAAGAAAGATCCTAACTCATGGAACTAGGGTTCCTCAAAACCTAAGTGAAGGGAAGTTACTCCATAGAGAAGAGAGAGACTGCAGAAATCTGATCTAAATCTTCAATCTCCATCTCCAAGCTTGATTCCTGAGCTCCAATGGCGAAGAAATCCTCCAAAATAGCTCCAAGAATGTTCCCAAGTCGCTCTCTCTCTCTAGGGTTCGTCCCTTGGGTGTTTGGGATCCAAAACCCAGCTCTCCCCCCTTTTGGCTCGGATTAGGCTTAAAAAACAGGCTTCCCCGAGTTGCACGGCCAGGTGCACGGCCGTGCACAACACCATTCTGGCCGTGCACCCTCAAAACGCACCGTTTCACTTAATCGATCTCAGCCATCTTGCACGGCCAGGTGCACGGCCGTGCAAGGCTGGATTTTGCCCGTGCAAGGCCTCGGCAGAGAGCGCACGGCCAGAATTATATGTTGCACGGCCGTGCGCCTCCCTGGTCTGCCCGTGCAGCTTGCTCAGCCTCTGTTTAATGCTTCGTTTCTCCCTCGTCCGGACTCCGAATCAGTCGCCGTTTGATCCCAGACACTCGTAGTCTCGTCCTCTTTCGTTTCATAACAAGCTTGCATGATTCTCTGTCCATAAAGTGAGGTAGAAATCAATTCTTCTTCAGGTCATGCCCGAGTTTCTGCTCCCGAATCGCCAATTGATCTCTGATTGACTTGAAACTTGCGCCTATGCTTCACTTTATGTGCTAGGACCTGAAATGTGACAAAGGAACACAACCTAGCATAAAATAGGCCAAAGACACGGTAATTCAAGCTCAAACAATCAAGAAACAAAGGGGAAAACATGTGCAAATACCGAGTCATCAAATCCCCCCACACTTAACTGTTTGCTTGTCCCCAAGCAAACCTAACTCAAACCAATGCAACTCTCCAGACCTCTATAGCAACAAACAACCTCGATCGTAGGTAGCGGACTTCCTAGATCATTTAGCAGCTTACGAGGTCAATCGACGCACAAGTCATCTCATAGCCTCTTCGGCGAGAACGCTAGTCTCGAGTCGGCATCATGGCAAATAGTGAACAGAGGACAAATGATTCGTGGATGAAGAGACTCTCAAAAACAAAAGATCATGGACTCACATTTTCAAGGTGCTCGATTTTCTTTTTGGAGATGGTTGGAACCCCCTTTTCTTTCTTCTTTTTGCTTGTTTTTTCTGTTTTTCTCTTTTTTTTTCAGGGTTCCAACCTGTTTTTGTAGAAAACGGGGCTCCCACCTAGCAAAGGTTTTGCGGGAGCCCGGCTCTTACCGGCCATGCCAGGAGCAGTTGTCTCGAGCCTCGTGCGGGGGAAAGACATGTAAGGGGGCTGGAGGTAGTAGGTGGAAATTGGGAACGGATTCCCGTCTCCCCTTACACACTTTCGCCCTATTCGCACGGGAGACGTCATTTTAAAGCGCATTTTCGAGCACCTGTTATTTCAAAACATGATACAAGAGTCCATGACAAGCAGAGAGTCCACAACACCACACAATTCAAGGGTCCTAAGATCACTAATTCACTCAATCAACCAACACACTATGAAGAAGAAATGAGACTTCTTAAATGCATCAACATCCTCCATAGTGCTACACTACAGAGACTGTCAATTCAAAGCATACTGAGCAGGTAATTGCAAGGAACACGTACTTGGAGCCCTCAAATTTAAAAATTTGGACAGTGGACTAGGCTCCAAGCACACAAACAGCCAAACATTCACCCGCATACATAATCGAACACCCCCCCACACTTAAGCACGACATTGTCCTCAATGGAGGAAAGATAAGGAGGGTAGAACGAAGTTACCAGATCAAGGGTGAATGATGATGACGGGGCAGGCGGTGCATTCCAGGAAGAGAGAGTAATCAGAACACAAACACCACACAAAATCTCACAAAGGTTGAGCTATTGACTCTAAAACCAAATAACAAAACTGACTCAACCGAGGAGAAATAGAGAAAGAAATGCAAACCGACTGGTTGGGTTGCCTCCCAACAAGCGCTTCTTTCACGTCGTGAGCCGGACGATGGCTCCTAAGTTTCGGTCCATGCTAGAACCTCCTTGAAGTTGAGGTTCTCATCTATGAGGTGGAGTCTCAAGTCACAAGCAGGTGGTGTGGTAGGTGATGAAGGCTCAGGTACTTGATGCAGATGAAGTCTCCACCCTCGAGACCTCTTCTTCTCTTCTCTCGTCTCATTGCCCCAAACCAGATAAGACAGCATCGATTGACCACCATCGCGTCCACCAAGAGGGACCGATGTCGAAGTGGCCTTGGTCTGGCAAAGAGACACTGCAAATGGGTCCTTGCTAAGTAGTTCCTCGACGTTTGGTGGAGATATCACATGCAACTCATGGCCGGTGCAGGCCTCTTCCACCTCAACTTCGTCCTCAGCCTGGACGCCAATTGCTTCGTCAACCTCCCTTCCTTGTTCATATGGTATCACCCCTGGGAAATGATCAAGAACTCCTCCTGCTTCACTTTCGTCATCCTCCACAACTTCTTTCTGAACCCTTTCTTGCTCTTCGTCTTCTAGCACGGATTGGAGAGCAAGTTGCCAAGCAATTTCTTTCTTGAGATTTTCTTGCATCTCCTCACTCATGCCCGCCTCTTCAAAGCTCAGTTTGGGATGTGGGAAGGTGTGGTCGGCTACGATAGGACATTCTTGATCATGATCTTCACGGGAGCTCTCCGTGATAACTTCTGTTTGCTCCACAATGTCCTTGTAGCCTTTGTCTTCCTCCTCCTCTTCTAGTATGATAGCAGAAGGGTGATCTTGAGCAGGTTGTGCATAAGCTTTCTCAAGATCCTCGAGGCTCTTCTTTATGCTCAGGAGGGTTCTCCTCTGTTTCACGGTAGGAGAACCCAGTTTGGGCATTGTCTGGGATATCCATCTTTGGAAAGGATGTCTCAGGTACTCGAGCAATCTGGTCCACGAGAAGCCTCAAGTGATAGTTTGGATCTGGCTGATGGAGGAATTCTTCTTGATAAGGAGATTGTTCTTGAAATACCCAGGGGTCTGATTGTTCTTCGTAGGATGGGGGTTGGTACTGAAACCCGAATCCATAGTCTTCTCCTCCTTGATTGCTCCAGGGGGTCTCGGGGTAATACCACTCGGATGGTGGTGGATACCCCCAATGGTTGGAGAAGCCATGAGGATCCATGATTCAGATCTGCACCAACAAAAACAAAAAACACCCAAGTGAAAAGCAAGGGTGGAAAAGAAAAGAAAAAAAAAAAGCTAAAGTAACAAACTTCTGCTTTCCTAATAATCTAGAAAGTCCCCGGCAACGGCGCCAAAAACTTGGCACGCTAAAACACAACTCCTAACAATGGCCAAGTGTAACCAATGAAAGGGACTGCAGTATAGTGGCACAAGTAATAAATATCGAATCCACGGGTCTCTAGAGTTACTATTACTCAGCTTCAGTTCATTATCTAGCAAACTAGATTAAGGATTGATTTACTAAACTACTCTACTAACTACTCTACTAATTACAAGTTGGGAACTCACTTAGGTATGATTCCCCCTAGCTCCTCAATTAGGTCCAAGTTGCAATTACCTTTGGTTGATCTACTGTTGATTAAACTGCGAAAGATCCGAAATTAGCTTGGAATCTCTTAAGCTGACCAAGCCCTCTCAAACAGAATACCCGACAGACGACTAGCCTTCACCGGGATAGACTTGCTAAGGCGATTCACACAGATCTCCACTACTGGAATGAATTCCAGTACAAAGCAGTAAATTGATTGACTCTCGCACAACCAATTCACCATTATCAATCAAGGAAGCTCTCTTAACCTAATCAGATTCTATCTATCATAGGTTAAAGCAGAAATCAAGAGAATTTGATCAAGATTCAATTGACTCAATAAATCATGCCTCAATCGATTATAATCAAACAATAAAGCATCCAAAACTTCATACAAGAAAGATCCTAACTCATGGAACTAGGGTTCCTCAAAACCTAAGTGAAGGGAAGTTACTCCATAGAGAAGAGAGAGACTGCAGAAATCTGATCTAAATCTTCAATCTCCATCTCCAAGCTTGATTCCTGAGCTCCAATGGCGAAGAAATCCTCCAAAATAGCTCCAAGAATGTTCCCAAGTCGCTCTCTCTCTCTAGGGTTCGTCCCTTGGGTGTTTGGGATCCAAAACCCAGCTCTCCCCCCTTTTGGCTCGGATTAGGCTTAAAAACAGGCTTCCCCGAGTTGCACGGCCAGGTGCACGGCCGTGCACAACACCATTCTGGCC